GAGAAATCTGTTGCTTCCTGGGATATTAATTATTTTCCCAATCAGTGGCTACTCATTTGTTAAATATGATTCATCTTTCCTATTTTAAAATGTATCCAACATAAGACGAAAACATATTTTTGTTTCCTGTTGATCATCTAAACTGTTTTCCTGAAATGTGTGTCTAAGCAACAAACTTAAAGTTTATGCCCAACTTCAGTGCCATCCATGGCCAATGTTTGTATAACAGGTGCTGCTGGTTGTCACTAGGCCAGCCCTGTGCTTTTGTGTTGTGTTCCTCTCGGCTGTGCTATGTGGCTCATAAATTTTCAGCTATAAAAAGTGGCAGTTGATTTTTGAAGCCCTGCTTTGGAGATAAAACCAGACCTCAGTCTCAGATGAGGCCTGTGTGTAGCATCAAGATTGTCTGATGCCACACATCACCAGAATATAATGTGAGGCCAACAGTGGCATGATGTTGGTGATCCTTAAAATTGGATGCAGCTGGACAAATAATTTTGGTGAAAGTTTTTATAAGTGATTCCACTTTTGGATAAACTGATCTGCATGCAAATAGTTAACTCAGCAAGTGTCCTTTAAAAATGACTGTGAGCGTGAAGCTCTGAAAGGAGTTGCCCCTAACTTCCCCTTCCTATAACTGTGCTCATTTTAAGGGGAGAGCTGCCAAAAGTTGGGATGACATGTCTGGGTGCTTAGCAGTTGGTAGTAATTTCCTGTTAGGATTTGTATGCCTTCAACAATGATGTAGAATGGGGGAATTAGTAGCACCAGGGAACTATTGTTTATGGCTGTTTTTATCTACCCATGCCCAACTTTTATAACTTACAAAACTAAATACCACCCTTAAACTGAAATGTCCCAGAGCCTTGGAGGTAATGGAGTTCCTAGGACCATTTTTCAGATAACAGGCATGAAAGAAATCTTTGAAGGAAGAGGTATTGGGCCTAGAAGCCCAGCCCTCTGATTTTGCAGTTAATCCCAATGACACAGTGTTTGCTCAGCGATTTGTTTTTAAGACTCCAAGGAAAAACAGAACTCAGAATTACATAGTGAGCTAGGAAAAGACTTGAAGTAAGCACTTAAGTCTATAAACACGGAGGATTTGTAACCTCATCATCCACCATGCCCACCTCATGACTTCAGAGACTGCCTGTAGGTGAAGCTCTCTACATTCGGCTCCCTCTTCCAAAGGGGTGGATTTGGGACTTCTGTGTGTGTTTGTATAAGTGCAGTGCACATACAGCATTGCCCCCCCCCACACACACAAACACACACACACACACTCACACTTGTACAACTACCTTTCTTGTGAAACTGTCCTTTTCATACTTAAGCACCAAGGACAGTGACTCTGCCATCAGTAGATGTTTCTTGCCAGTGGAGTTGTGGTGTTGAACGTGTGTGCCCTGACCTTACAGAAACCGTGTTACTACTGCATACAGCCACTGTTCCAATACTCACAGTGACTAGAAAGGCTTAGACAACGGTGCTCTGACTGGAAGACAGAGATCTGCCACCTGCATTATTCTGATAAAAGTGTCCCCCTATGTCACCATAGCTCCTAATGGCAGTGCCCATGCCTTTCTGCCTCCTGGCACTGTTCAAGGGTTCTTTCATGCTTGAAACCTCAAACCACCAGGTATGGGGCACTAAATCAGCTCAGAAATAATTCCGTGTGTCTGAAAGCGGAAGAGGCAGCACATGCAGCTGCTGTCCGTCCTCACCATCTGGTGACAAGATCATCCTTTCTACGCAGTCTCGCTCCCGCGGTTATTTCAATGAAGCTATGCCGTGTATAGGACCATATTCATCCCATTTTTACATGACATCAATTGTTTAATTCTGAGTTAGAAATTAGAAACTAATGTCTCTAATTCACAACATATTTGGTGGAACTTTTCATCAGTATGATCAATTGATCAGTCCTAAAGAGGAAACCTTGAGTAAGCTTTTTGTACAATACTCCGGCAACAAAGAGCCAAGAACCGGGTCATCACCTGAGCATCTAACTTTGTCTAACTTTGGATGTCTAATTTTTGATGTCTAGCTTCATATCAGTGGCACCCAACACTCAATTATTAATGGTTAAATATGGTAAGACTCATGTATCTGTATGAACAAAAATGAGACTGTGACATAAATCTGTCTCAGGGAGAGTTCTCTTAGGAGTCACAAATCCTAGAGTTCATGAGAATAGGAAAGCCACATAGAAGCTAATTTTCTTCATTCATCTTCCCTGTTACTAAGTTATATGAATCATGTTCTTCCCACCCTCGAGCAGAATAAACACCCACATATCAAATTTACTGATAGGACATATTTCTCAAATGGAATAAAATTATTCACAGGAGGTATAAGCATTTTGAGTGAATACAATTCTGAATCGTAACAGATTTGATCAAGGGACTGTTTGTGTCAGTGCACGTCAGTTGCACTGTGCCTGCTGATCTTGTCTTTGCCCAAATACCCTACCTAGAGTGTCGCATTTGTCTCAGCCAGTTAGCTACACACTTTTCTACATTTGGAGGGCTTCTGGGTTTTATTCTTTTCATTTTCCTTCTTAAGGTTGAATATTCCCAAGTTATCTAAACTAGGCATACCTTATTAATGTGGTAGTGATCTCTAACTTTCAGATATGACAGCTAACTTTAAAAGTTATTTGGTGTGACTTGGAATATTTAACATTGTGTCTCTCTCCTTGTCTCTTTGGAGAATCAGTCTGTTAAGACATTAAATGCCTTTGAATTTTGTTTGGTTCTTTCCTTCACATATCCTATTTTCCCACATTTCCCTAACCATTGACCTTGAATTAGTATTAACAAATTCTTCCAACCTCATCCACCCTCTCTGTGTATCAGAATGTCTTTGATTTTTTTTTCTTTGGACATGTTTCCCTGATATCACCAGGTTCCCCAACTATCTGTCTCCCCTGGAACTTAGCCTCACAGATTGCCACCCTTCCCTCTTAGATGACATTTTGTGGTCTTCACACTTCCATTCATGTGGCTGACATTGTGGGAAGGAAAAGGCTGTGTAACTGTGGTTAACTATGTGACAAACTTATGTGTTCCAGCCTTATCTGGACTCTCAACCCTGGCCATCAATCTTCTGTCTTTATCTCTACTTGTAGTCTTTTCTTTTCCCAAAATGAAGCTTTCTTCTCCTCCTCTTGTTCCACAAATTCTCAGCTGAAGATATACTCCTGGGTTCTCATTATTCAAATTTCCTACTTTCTTCTCATTTTCTTAATGTTTCAAATGCACGGCTCTTACTTTCTAATCTCCAGCACCCAGTTGGTGCTCCCAGGTAATATTCAAATGATTGAATGTTGACTATGACTCTTAGTCTCCCCTAGCTGCCATTCCATCAAAAGTCTTCCAGTAAAGACCACCAGTGTGCCCTAATTCTGAGTTTAGTGATATTGAAGACTTCCTTGATGTCTTCATGTTGCTCTACCAGCTGAAGGGGACACATCATTTTGATCTTTAGTCTTTCATGTCTTATATTTGTGCCTCTCCTGTTCCATGGTTCTCTTCTCTGATCACTGCCCGAATCTCCTCGCATGTTGACTCTCACACTGCTCTGAAATTCAGGCCAATCTCCTTTTCTTCATTTCAGCCTGGACACCACAACTGAGCTCACATTCTGTGTTTCTGATCACCTCTGTGTTTTCATCCTCTCAGATTTCAATGTGTCCCAAGCTAAACTAAACACTTTGTCTATAGTCTACACGTGTTCTCTCCATGTCTTTTGAAGTGGAAGGCATCACCTGACTGAATTAGGACAAACTGTGACTTACAAATTCATTCCTTACCCTATATCCTCTAAATTCTTCTATTTCAGTTTGTTCTGCTTTCTCTGCTTTATGCTTTGTACTCCCTCTGTACCCAGGCTAGCCCAGAGTTAGAGCTTAACAAATGTTTTAATTATATTTTATGTCACACCAAAATGTAGACAACTCGAATAGGGCTTGATTCCAAGGGATAGATCTATCTCCATCTTTGATGTGTCTATTAATATTTAGACCACTAGAAAGATACTTAGCAGTTTGCAGTGCCTCAAGGCATTTTTTTTCCTGAGGTGTAAAGTGTGCTGTCAGAGTCATGGTATTTCAATTCATGATCTTGACCTTGTTCGTTAAAAACAAAATGGGCAGCTTGAGTCTCAAGGACCTGCGTAGCTGGAAATATTAGCCTAGTGCCTGGAATTCAATAATAATTGATTATTTAGTCCACAGCAGTGTATTGTTGATATCTTTGCCCTAAAGGGAAGTTAATTACTCTTACTTGTGTGTTTTATTAAGAGATCTGCTATTTGGACTGGAATATTAAGTTGAAGTACAGTGACATATTGAAAATATGAAAAATAAATTATTTTCAGTGATCACAAATTGTTAATTTAATGATTCACCAAGAATATCAGAGAAAGCAGTGAAGGAGGCAGTAGATGTAGTAAGAACATTTAATTGATTCAAAATAGTGGCTTTAAATGCTGTTTAAACTTAATTGCCAGAGAAAATCCTCTTTTCACAGAGCATGGTCTTTGCTGTTTCAAAAGTTATTAATTGACCGAAACACTTATGGTTGTCATGTCCTTGCAATCCTAACGCAATTGTTTTTACAAATGCCTCAACTCTCTGGCAAGGAGTAAATTCAGATGGGTGAGTCAAAGGTTCATTTCCGTTCAGAGAACCCATTCTGCCTGCAGGTCTTAAAAGGTGTAACAGAAACAGTTACCTTGGGTTACAGAGTTCAAATTTCAGGGCATGTTTAAGTCGATAGAAGAAATCCCCTTCAGCCGGTAAACAGCAAATGAACCATCACATACTTCTGTCTTTCGGTGCCAAAGCCTGCTTAGTGTAGGTTTGGAGATGAGCATGCCGGTAATCACAGTTTTGATTTTAGAATGTCACACCACTTTTGTACACATTTTCTTTTAGTAGCCCTCCTAGAAGTCGCCAGCTGCTGTCATGGCATCCCTGCCCCCTCTTGTTCTCTCTTCGTTCCCTGTTCAGCCATTTCATAAAGGGGGAAGACACTGAAAAGTCCTCCCTCTTCAGATGAGGGCACCTTTCATCTAGTCCATAAGCATAATGCCATTGGATGGGAATGCCAAAGCATGGAGAAATTAAATGGTGCAACTAGTGCCACCTACCTAATGAGAAAGAGGCTCTTATTTTGATTCACCAGCTTTGAGATTGCTTATGGGTTTTCTTGTCTCTCAAATGGATTTCAAGCCAATTGCAACAACATGCTGATTCTGCTCTTTACTCACTCGTGCCTGAAGCTCTGTGAGGACTCAGTACATGCATGTTCATGAAATAGCATGGTCGAAATGGAGTGGAATTCAAACCCTCAGTTTCTCTTAAAGAGTCTTTATTCATTCATTCATTCATTCTGCATCCTGACCCCAGTCCCTCCTTCCCTCCCCACTTCTCTATTCCTCCCCATTTACTTCTCCATTTCTATTCAGAAAAGGGCAGGCCTCCCATGGTGTTGTAACATGGAATGCCTGCTTGTTTGTGTTTTCTGTCCTGCTCGGTTCCCACAGCTGTTTAGCCCCAAAGATAATCACACAGAGATCTCTATAAGTTATAAAGCTGATTGGCCCTTTAGCTCAGGCTTCTTATTAGCTCTTATGACTTATATTAACCCAGTATTCTGATCTATGTTAGCCATGTGGCTCAGTACCTTTCACAGCCGGGCAGATCACATCCTGCCTCTTCAGTGATCTGGGTAGGAGTGGGAGGAATCAACTTCCTCCTTTCCAGAATTCTCCTTTTCTTATTCCATCACCTCTATTTCCTGTCTGGTTTACCCACCTATACTTCCTGCCTGGACAATCAGTGTTTATTTAAAACATGATTGACAGAATACAAACAATTCTCCTGCACCATGGTGTCTTAGGGTTTACTGTTGATGTGAGGAGACACCATGACCAGCAACTTTTATGAAGGAAACATTTAACTGAGGGTGGCTTGCTTAGTTTCAGAGGTCCAGTCCATTATAATCATGAAGGGGAGCATGGCAGCATGCAGGCACACGTGGTGCTGGAGCTGAGAGTGCTACATCTTAAAGGATGTCAACTGTCACACCGAGGGACTCTTGAGAAAAGGAGACCTCAAAACCCATCCCCCAGTGACACACTTCCCCCCAAAATGCCACACCTCCTAATGATGCCCCCTCCCTTTGGAGGCCATTTTCTTTCAAATCATTATACATGGCTATCAAGAAAGCATGTCATATCAAGTTGCAGTAGGACTAAGCACCCCCACTTGTTTTAAGGCTGGACAGGGAAATACAGTATGAGAAGTAGGGATTCCAAAGAATCTTACTTCCGCAGCTTCAATAATGTATGATCTGAACTGAACCAATTATGTTGCAAATTTCAATATTAGAACTGCATATGAAAGTCTTAAAAATAAACAGGATGCCATCCTATAAATGTACCAAAGTGTCCAAGGATGAATATTTTATCGTCAGATCTACTTGAGGTTAGTTGCATCCTATTAGTTATCTTTTGGGATGTCTTTATCAAACTCTTCCCTCTCAAGGCTCAGAATGTGGAAGAGGAGGAGAAAAGACTGTAAGAGTCCTAGGTGGTGATGACTCCAAGGAAGCTGCATCTTCAAAACACAACAGGATTGATACCCACGTGAGCTCACTGAGACCAGGATCGCATGCCCAGGGTCCACACAACAGTACTGATACCCACGTGAGCTCACTGAGACCGGGACCGCATTGCCAGGGTCTACACAAGAGGATTGATACACACGTGAGCTCACTGAGACCAGGACAGCATGCCCAAGGTCCACGCATCAGGACTGATACAAACGTGAACTCCATGCCCAGGGTCTGCACAGGTTCAAACTAGACAAAACTCCAGCACCGAGAAGGGGAGGTAGACACAAAGTCCCAACACTTGCCAAGAAGTTATTTGCAGTTGATAGCTCCTGAGAAGGGAGAGTGAGTCTTCTCTAGTATAGTGGCACCCTGAGCATGGCAACTATACTTGCAGGCTGGCTCCATGCCTGCCAACATAAAGTGGGCTCCATTAATTTTTGTTTGTTTATTGTGTTTTGTTTTTATGTGGGCTTTTAATTGTGCTTTGTCTTGGGTATTTTTTTGTCTTACTGTTGTTTTGCTTTGCTTTGATTTTTCAACTTTCTTTTTTGAGAGAGAGCAAGAGCTTGGGTAGATAGAGGTGTATGGAGGATCTGGGAAGACCTGGGGGAGGAGAACGAATATGACAAAAATGTATTTATATAAAAAGAAATTTTGAAACAAAAATGTTTTTAAAAATTACCCATATTTATCAGCTTGAAATAACAATCATTTCTTTTCTCATACTTTCTGTGCACCAAGAATTTCGGGGCAGTTTAGTTTGTTTCTGCAGCTAAGGTACAAATAGTGCCTGTTGCTTTCTAGAGGTGGAGGCGCATGAGCAAGCATGCTGATATGTCTACAAATATGCCTTGAGGTTTCGCTGGCTACTGGCTGGAAACACCAACCTTTGTTTTAATTTTTATTTTCTATTATCCTCTCTTTTAAGCAAGTCAAAAAAAAGCTGCTGGCTTCCCTGAGAGTCAGAATGTTATATGACACAAAAACAAGATTCTCTTGGAGTTATTGTCATGGAAGTTATTGTCATGGAAGCTCTCCATTCCTCTTGCCTTCTCTTCTTTGGAGGAGCCATGGTGTTTAGTCTTCATCAGGAGAATGGGTAGTACCATGGTGGGAACATTAGGAAGTGAGAGTCATTAAGTCACATAAGACTGCTTACCATATCCATAGTAAATATCATCATTGAACAACAGTAACTTAATGGACATAAAATTTCAACAGATTGGATTCTTCTCTTCCTATCCAGACTTTACATGAAAAGTTACATAAATTTATAACTCAAACTGACTTCAGTAGAAATGTGTGTGTGTGTGTGTGTGTGTGTGTGTGTGTGTGTGTGTGTACTTCTTTAAGAAAGAAGTCACAGGATAATGTTGTCATTAGGTTCCACATAATTCTGTTCTGGTACCAACTCTTGTTTCTACCTACTGTTAGAATGGATTTTTTTCCCAGTGAGCTTCATGGTGATCCCTGTGGCTAGAAGAGTGGAACGTAACAATGACCCAACTTCATGACTTCCAGATCACTTATCCCTGAGTCTGGGAGAAATTGACTAGAGCAGAAACCAAAATCAAATGAACTACTTGCACGTATCTGTCTGCTTTATGGCCCTACTGAGTCTAATTCATATAGGCCACCATGTCTTTTTGGCCTTTTGAATCCACGCAAGCTGTAATAATAAAATCCCATTGATTGCATCTTGTAAAGAGCAGAAAGTCTCACTGTTGTGGCAGCTAAAAGTCTAAAATCAGGGTCCCAACCAACTTGGAATCTGCCAAGGATCTCTTTCTCCTAGGTGACATCTACAACTTCATGTGAACAGCTTGCTGGAAAAAAGTTGCAGGTAGCTCTCAGGGAGCTCCTTTTAGGAAGAAACTAATCCAGTTCATGAGGTTTGCTTGTACGCTCATCAACACCAAAGCCTCACTTGTTAATACTGTTGACTTAAAACAGGTTTTGCCATGAGTTTGGGCAGTGACATGCATTTCTAGACCTAGTGATGGACCTAAAGATAAACATATATTATTTTGTTGGAAAGGCAACCATACTCCTTAACAAAAGATGTCACATAAAATGATTTTTTTGAATCAATAGCAAAGAGTAAACTATAGTTTTATAATTCATGTGCATCCTATGAACAAAAAGAATGTTTTACAAGCGTTTTAGTGTGACCAGTATTAGCAGAACACATCCTTAGGACTACCATCAGTCATCTGTGTGAACTGACTTTCAGCATGAAAACAAAGCCTTATTAATCTGTTGACTTGTAGAAAATACAGGTGTGTGTGTGTGTGTGTGTGTGTGTGTGTGTGTGTGCGCGCGCGCACGCGCGCACACATAAGCAGTAATTGGGATCAGCTGGGGCCATTTAGGGGTCAAATACTAGGTGTCCAAGGTCACTCATGCGTAAAATTAAACCTAATAAGCTGTAGCCACCGCTTTATGGCAGCTTGCTTGTTGATGGCTTATTATGCCCCCACCCCATTTTAAGTATCTAAGAGATTAGATCTGGGGGTTAGTTCTAGCTTTCTCAGAGAGAAAATAGAATTGTTGGATTGCTTTGCGATGAAATTAAATTGTGTGTGGTCAATTCCAAAACCACAAATCATTTGTCAGATCTTGGTGCAGTTTTCTTCTCTATGGTTCAGTGTGAGCTGGTCCTAGTGCCACTCACCAAACCAAATGGGTTTCTTCTTTCGAGGCACTTAAGATGCCTTAAGCAGGATAAGTGACTCAGAGGGGTCACATGCTTTTGCCCACAGCACACCCGGTTTCCAGAACTCACACCAGAAGACTCACATCTGCCTATATTTTCAGCTCTAGGAGATCTAACATGCCACTCTGGTCCCCTTTTGGCCTTGAGAGACACCCAAATGCATTGGTGCATCCTGACTCGCACAGTAACACACAGATACATAAAATACTGAATGGATGGATGGATGCATGGATGAATGATGGATGCATGCATACATGAATCTTTTAAAAATGTTTTTAAACACTCATGCATGATATATGATTATCTAGTATCCCAAGTCACTGAGACTCAACGGTATGTCTGGTGTTGATTACTAACTCTAATGGATCTCTGAACAAAGGGTTTTGGGGATGAACATGAAAGAGTTTTGTAACATGAGGGTCCGGCTTGTTGGGGTTTCTGTCCCGCCCGGTACCCCACAGCCGGCATATCCCAAAGAAAATCACACACAGGACTCCATTAGGTTATAAACTGATTGGCACATTAGGTCAGGCTTCTTATTAGTCCTTGTAACTTATATTAATCCATTATCATTATCTATGTTAGCCACACGGCTCAGTACCTTTCTCAGCGTGGCAGCTCACATGTTGCTTCTTTGGTGATCTGGGCAGGAATGGCAGAGGAAGCTTCCTGCTTCCCAGAAGATTCCTGTTCTTATCGCCCCGCCTCTACTTCCTGTCTGGTTGACCCACCTATACTTCCTGCCTGGCCAATCAGCGTTTTATTAAAATACATGATTGACAGAATA